TGAAAACGCCGCCCACACTTATAAGCTGCCCCAAACGGACCCTAAGTTTGATAATTGTTGGTGATGCTGGAGCCTAGCACTTAACTCCAATGGAGACATGAGAATTGTTGAAGGATATTGTTCTCTTTTATTAGCATCAATTTAATAGGAGCATCTTTATGAGCTGTCATTCATAAAAATTCAATGACTTTTTAAGTCTTAATCACTTTCAAAAGAGTTTGATTTCGGAGTTAGCTTAAATAATAATAAGAATACAAATATTATTACTGAAGAAGTCAAATAGAAAGTTACTACCGAACATATTGAAATAGAAAATACAACAACACAACAAACACTCATACTAGGATTTGATCCATGTGTGATGGGGGTCAGCTAGGTGGTCAGTGAGTGATGGTAGGTGGTTGGAATGGGCTGTGAGGTTGCTTAAAACGATAAAGGAGGAGCTGAAACTACGATGACAACTTGAAAAAAGGTCTGGAACAACAACGACAACAAAGCGGAGGGCTGAGATAGTGAGGGACAATGAAGAGGAAGAGTGGTTGTTGGCTGTAGGACTACAAGAGGAGTGCAATTTACCAGAATTATTAGGAAGAACAATATAAACAGGAAAGCAAACATTTATTATTATAGAAATAGGTTTACAACATGACTTAACCAAAAGGAAAGTACAATAATAGACGAATCTCAGGTTAGGGGTGAAAGAAGAGATCCGAAAGCGTTGGTGGCGTCAAGGGAAAGGTGGGGAAGGCCGAGTGACTGTGTGGATAGGTTGAGATGATGTTTGGTTGGTTGTAGGTAGGCGGGACAACAAGGTTGTGGGGGAAAGTGGAAGTGGCGGTAGTGTAGTGGAGGGATATGGGTGGTAGGCGACTATGGGAGATAGTAGGAGAAGGGTTGGGGAGAAAAAGCAAAGGAGATTGGAAGTATACAACACCACCTCAGAGTAGGATACAACCAAAGCATCACCTGTCGTTGGATACAACACTAACTAGAGGAAAGAGACTCTACACAGAAGATCTGAAGACTGCACAACAAGAACTTAACTCTTACACATAGCAAACAACTATTTGTTGACTCTCACAAAAAAGGAGGGCAGAAAATCCAAAAAAGCCTACACAAGTGCTGCTCGCGAACCCTTCTTCACCTCTGTGAGAGTTCGCCCGCGAGACCCTTGCGTATCGCAATCCACCTCTTGCTTTTCTAGCTTTGTGATAGTTCGCGGGGCATCACGATTCGACTCCTCCCTTTTCTGCTTCACGACAGTTCACAGGATTTTTCTAGCGAGATTTTTCAGCTCCTGGGATAGGGCGTTGTTTCAGCGCTCGTGTTAGGGGTGCTTGTAGTAAGGAGAAGGGGGAAGTGGGTTTTTCGGGAAGGTGACAACAAGTCAGAGGAGAGGAGTGAGGAGGATGCAAAAGTTGAGGATAAATATCACATGATAGCAAGATACAACTGGAGCACCCCTTGATCTTTGAAGATGAATCAACACATCATAACGAGATACAGCCGGAGCACCATTCTCTCTTGGATACAGCCCTAGAAGGGAAAACCTGGATGCCCACGGTTGTCTTGACATAAAACATGAAGAAAATTTGAAATCTTAAAACACAAGAAGCAAATATATATTCCTTAGATAATTAGGATTGGGCCCATTCTTGAAAGGAGCCAAACCAAAGAGGAGCCGATCAACTCTTCCTTGCCTGGACCGGTCGGCCCAGGCGCTGGAATTGCGCGAAGTCCCACACGTGTGCGTTCCACTTCAAAAGCGGGAGGCATTTTGCTCCAAGAGATGCTCCCGCTTTAGTCTTTTGAGATTACGGTATTTTTGATCTCATTCGTCGAAACTTTTGTCTCCTTGTAGTATGATGTTAGGTCGATCACGTTGAAAGTGGTAGAAATGTATCAATTTTCCAGTAAGTTAATTATGTAGGCGTGTTATTCCAAAATATATCATGATAGAATAAATGTCATTCTTTGGCACAACCAAAACCAGAACTACATGTAAATGAGTATCCTCATGAACCAAGTATTAAGCCATCAAATTTGTAATCGTCTTCTTTCACTCTTCGTACTCGTCTGAGTTTATCCGGTAAATAAGCATGTTAGAAATAATCAACTCTGAAATGAAATCTATGACAGATTGGACAATTTCTCAATAATAACCACTCAGGAGAGACCCCTTCTTTTATGGTAGGAGCTAAATCCCATTGTTGGATGTTCTTTCCCCTAAACATTCTAGGATGTTTTTCAACTCTGTGGTTCATCCATCCTGTTTGATCATCTGTCAGGGGATACATCACTAAACTATTTTACTGCCCAAATGACTTCATATTGTCTTACAGAAGTGACACAAAAGAGTCTCATATCTGAAATGTCGGACCTCCCTCAGTATGGGCATCAGTATGGGCAACTCATGAGATATGTTATATATTTGAAAATTATAAAATTCTTTTATGTAAAGGTTTCCTTAATCTGGTATCAACTCCTCAAATTCATGTCCCTTTTAGACATCCAATGTCAGTTATAATTCTCCTCCCAA